TACACCATTTGGTTGTCGGACACACTTGTAAACACTTAATGAAACAAAGAAGCACAACCCGAAACAATCTCTGAAGCACTCCTGACCTAGCGATTCTGCCCAATGTCTCGATTCCTCTCAGTTGTCTGGAGTTCCTTTCCAGATGAGTGCTTTGGAGCTGAAGCGCAGCCAAGGTCAAGCTGCCCCTTGGCAGCTCCTCACGCCCGGTTGTCCTCTGCCGGGTCCAAATGCTTTGACCTCAGGAGGGATCCGTGGAGAAGGCAGGCCATAAAAACCTCCCATGGTACTTTGGGGGAAGTGGTTTAATTACTGCTCTCAAAGCAAAACTGTTGCTTTTTCTTGCACTGCAGTCACTCCCTGTCTAAGGATAAGACAGAGCTGCTGATCCTGGCAGAGTTGGGGACCTCCCTGGGGAGAACCTCCATGTCCAGGCACAGTGTATCTTGGAACACCAGTAGCTAGTAGGGGTAACCATAGGAGTCTGCAACAGCCTTCCCGCTGATAGATGTCAGAAAACAGACGTACCAGGGAGGAGCAGTGGAGCTTGTGCCAACTGGTCCCCAGGCTCCCTGCCTGCCAACGAAGCAAGCGGGAGCCATTGCGAGGAGGATGAGGAGGAGGAAGAGCAGCCCGTGACCATGGGGGGTCCCAGGGGGTCAGGGTAGTGCATTGGTTGAAGGGACTGGGGAGAAGTGGGGTCTAACACCTGCCCTGAGGCTCAATGGGGGACTCTGGGCTGTTGCTGACTCTTAGCTTAATCTACCTCGCAGGGTTCTTGTGTGGATAAAAGGGAGAGGAGGAGCGGGGCCAGATGGGCTCTTTGCAAGAGGAACAAGGAGGGAGAATGATAGGAACTGAAAAGCAACAAGAAAATATTTCCCACCCGTCTGTCAGGCATTTTCGGTCCCCACAGGATGCCTTGTGGAGGAAAACCACAAAATTATCAGCCACTGGGAAAGAAGGTATCATCATCTAGCAACTTGCAAAAAGACACTCGTACTCTTTGGAAGGGGCCCAAAAGCAGGGCTGTTGGACCCGTGAGGGCCAACGTCATCTGTAGGCAGATATCTGGCCCTGGAGAGAGACGCCGGCTGCAGCGTCGCCAGGACTCGCATCCCCAGGTGCAGAACCTTCAAATCGCCTCATCTCTTCCGACCATCATTTGTGAACTCGCCCCTCTGGGAGTTTGAGAAGCTTCTCTTCTGGCTCCATTCCTGCGGACCAGTGGAACACAGCTCCTAGTTTCCCTGAAATGGATCAGGGCTCCAGGCTGAAAGAGGTCAATCCCCCTGCCCTGGTCCGGACACACGCGGACGGTATTTTTAACTTGGCCCCAAGCGAGGTGGGGTGGGAGGCAGGGCTCATCTCATTCTGCAGCCTCTTCCGAAGAGCCCCCCCCACACACACACACACGTCCTGTTGCTCCAGTTACATAAGACGCCGCCTCTTCCGAAAGTAATCTCCTTAGCTCCTCTGCTTAGCCACGGAAAAGGAGGCGGTAGCGGTAGGATTACGAGCAACATCTGGACGCTGCAAGCGACGGCAGCTGCATTCAAACAATCCGGGGCTTCCTTCTTCCAACAAAGCTGTTCGAAGTGGCTTACACCCTTCTCCGGGTCGGGGTGCTGCAACAGACAGCATAGGAGGACCGAGACCCCGCCACAAACCCCGGGCCAGTCCCTCCCTCCGCTGAAGTTGCCGTGCAGCCACAAGAGGAGGCCAAGCTCCCTCGGAGGCCCTGCGCTTTCATCTCAGGGTGGGCAGCAAGCGAGCACCAGAGTCAGGACCTAGTGGGTGGTGGCACCGGAGGGCCTTCTTTGGAATTCTCTCTCAGTAAAAAGTTCTGTAAAACCCTTTCTCGGCTAGCTTTCAGGTAAGAAACACAAAAATGTGCTTCATTTGACAGGTTTCTAGATGTGCCCATTTTTGCTACTGATTTTTAAAAGGGATTCCTAGCAGAACCAGTGTTTAGATCACAGCATTTTAGCTGGTCCTTTGAATCAATGTCAGCTTTTTGTTTACCTTTTAAACTGAACAGCATTTCTTCCATGTTGCGAGCTGGACTGGATTAAAAAAAAAGACAACAACGAAGAGAGAAACAGCCCCGAGTTCCTTGAGGGACAGGAAGGCAACCAAATAAAAATCACGACAGAATTGAGGGAGAGGGACAGTAAAGTCTGACCTCCTTCAGCCCAAGGGCCCAATTCCATGCAGCTCTCAGGGGCCGCATCCTCCGGTGGGGCGGGACTGAAGGCCAAAGGGGCTGAGCCAAGCCTGGCCGCACATCCAGCGTATCATGCCAGTCACACACCTGAGGACGAACCTTTCAGAACAGAGAAAGGGTTGCAGAGAAGCTGGGAAACCCCCCAACAATTGGCAGGCGGGGGGGGGGAAGAGGTGAGGCCAGAGGGGGCACTGTGGTTGGACCGCCAAGCACACATGACAGGGAGCACCTGCGGGGAGGCACCTGCAGACAGTGCCCTGCAGGGAGCACCATCTGTCTCTCTCTCGCTCACAAAATCCAGTAGGGAAGTTCTGAAAACACAGGCTGTGCTGGAGCGGACTGCAGCCGGCCACTCCAAGCCCTCTTGGAGGAAACGGATCGTCTCGATCAGTTTCGCTCGGGCTTTAGGCCTGGCTTCGGAATGCAAGCTGCATCGGTCGCCCCATGGGATGGCTCATGCTGGGAGAGAGACGGGGAGCGCGACCCTGATGGATCTCCTGGATCTCTCAGCGATACCAGCGATCGTGGTGTCCGTCTGGAGAGGCTGGCCGGGCTGGGAGTTGGGGGCACCGCCTTGAGGCGCCTTCACTCCCATCTGGCTGAGCGCCTCTGGTTGGTGGGGCTGGGGGACCGTCGCTCTGTGCCATGGAATTCCACAGGGCTCTGTTCTGCCTTTACATCTGCAAGAAGCCGCTGGGCAGGGTCTTCCGGAGGTATGAGCTGAAACATCGTCCGTGTGCCGATGACGCTCAGCTCTACCTCTTGTTTTCATCTGATCCAGGTGAGGCTGTCCTGAGCCACTGCCTTGGCTTGGTAACGGACTGGATGAGGCCCAACCCAGACAAGATGGAGGTGCTGTTGGTGGGCAGTCCGTTTGTCCAACTGGGAAATCTTCAACCGATCCTGGACAGGGTTGTGCTCCCCTAAAGAATAAGGTTCATGGCTTGAGGGTGCTCCTGGAGCCTGAGCTCTCACCTGTTTCTCAGGTGGCCTCGGTGGCCAGGAGCATCTTCTACCAGCTTAGGCCAATTTTCCGTTCCTACTTGGACGAGTGGAGCTTCACAGCAGTTATCCATGTGCTGGTAACCTCTTGCCCGGATTACTGTAACGCGCTGGACGTGGGGCTGCCCTTGAAGATACTCCAGGCACTTCAGCTAATCCGAGAGAGAGCAGCACGGTTGCGAACAAGGGCCGGCCCACGCAGAACACACCACACCGGTCCCATGCCACTGGCAACGGCTGCCTGGCACTGCCCGGGCCCGATTCGGTCTCACGCTAACAATACAAAGCCTTGAATGGCTTGGGAGCGGCTATCTAAAGGAACGCCTGTCTGCATACATCCCCACCAGACCACTCCGGTCATCAATGGAGGCCCTCCTTTGTGACCCCCCCCCCACAATGAGTGGGGGGAATTGGCAGGAAAAATGGCCGCCTCCGTCACCGTGGCCTCACCTCTGGGATTCCCTTCCCAGGGAGCTGAGAGACACCCAACTGATCTTGCTTTCAGCGCCAAGCCAAGCCTTTTTTATTATCTGGTTTTAGATTGCATTACTGGTTTGCTGCTGGTTTATTGCTTTATTGGTTGTAGTTATGGGTTATATGGTTTGTTTTCCTCCTGTTCCTATTTATATGGTTGTATGTATATTGTTTCTTAATTCTATTATGCTGTAGGTTTGTTATTGCTATTTATCTGTGTGTGTGTGTGTGTGTGTGTGTGTGCAGTGCTGTGAGCCGGCCAAAGAGCCCCTGGCTACGGGGCAGCATACCAACGAGATAAAGAAATAAAAACCCATATTCCCCAAGGACTTGTGGAGACGCACGAGTTCCGTGGCTGCACAGCGCCACCACGGCAGCAGGCCAGACGGAGTATGGCAGCTTCCGGCTCCACCAGACCCGGAGGTGCCAAGCACCCGACTGAGTCCCAGATGGCCACGCACCTGCCACTGCCAGGATTTGGACCCTGCCTGACCCGCTGGCCACGCATCCAGAGACGTACACGCCCCACTTCCCGCAACAACCGGGTGGTTCTGTTCAGCCGACAAGCACAGCTCAGCTCAAAGCCCTGCCTAGCAGGGACTAAGCATTAAAAGTGGCACTTTAGAACGCGGAAAAGCAGGCACAGGAACCAAGGAGCTGTGAAACGACCGGGGAGTGAAGGAGGGGGGGGGTACATTATATTCTTATCGGGGCCGGGCAAAAACCTTTTTATTTGCCCAATATTTTAATATTTAATTATTTTAACATCGTTCTGCTCAGCTATGCTTTGTTGTAATTATGTATGGTTTGAATATTTAAGGTCTGTAAGCCGTCCTGGGACATTTTGTAAAGGACAGGATATAAATACTGTTAATTAATAAATAAATAAATAAATAAATATTTGGTTTGCTGGAAGCAGCCTGCAGGGCCAAATCGCACCTAGATTCTGTACCTCTGGTCTAAATGGAGGCAAACTGGGACAAAAGCCCTTTTCAAAAGCCAGTTGGAAGCACAAGCCTTCTCTGCCCAAGCGAAGAACGCAATGCTGACCAATGTACCTCCAGAATCAAGAACCTGACAGGAACATGAATCAGTAGCAAGCCAGCCCAGCTTTCCTGGGGTGACTCCTGCTGTGACCAACAGGAGCTCCAAAAATTCCTTTTGGAGCCCCCACCTCCAGCACGTGCCTTCCTCGCCGGCCAAACAGTGCCAGGCTCTCACCTGCAAGCCTGTGACCTGGGGCCACCACCGATCAGCCCCTCGCACCGGGGCGTAAAAAGGAACGCTACCGACACGCCGGGAGGTTTCACCAACCCAAACCTTTATTGGGAACACAACGATTTTCTCTCTCCCCAAACGGAGGGGGAGGAGACGGAGGTGGCAAGCAACTGATTCAGAAGCGAGTGGCGTCAGCAAATAACTGGGTGGTCGCGGAGGCAAAAGAAGCAGGGCTGGTGTTTGGATCCATAGAGATACGAAACTAGGAAAAAGCAACTTTTTCTGTAGCCCAGGGACAGGCTGAGGAGCAGTGTTCTGGCCAGACCACAGCTCTGCTTCCTGTGCGGGCCAGATAACTACCTTCTCAACACAGACGAAACATTTATACACCCTTCCTGCAGTCTGAGCACCCCTTGGCTCCTTCAGCCACCAACGCCTGGCCAGGAATGTTTCAGTTTGAACCCTGTTTCTCTGCAGCTGCCAACTATTTTCCTTGGAAAAGCTGCCATGCCATTCTGAGGATGCCAAAATCAGCTTGCAGCAACTTAGTTTGAAAAACTTATTTTGGGGTCTTTTATGGGAATTCCATCACAGGTCAATGACCTGATGGGCTTTGCTCCCCCACGACCTGGTCCTTGCGGGGAGCTCCCCTCCCCTCCTCTCACTCTGCTGCCAAATAGCATAGGAGCCTCTCTCAGGAGAGAAGCTGGCAAGCCGAGAAAGCAAGTTCAGGATTTGGCAAGGATTTCTGGAAGCCGAGGAGATAAAAACAGGGCTGGGCAACCTATAGACAGCAATTCAGATTAAGGCACAGGGTTTTTTTGTTTGTTTTTAGGTCCCTCCACCTTAGCAACATGGTGGGTGGATTTAGAAGAGACTAAAGCAGTGTTAGAAACATTCTCAATCTAGAAGGAAAAAACAGCTCAGGTCTGGAAGTGGGGAAAGTGGGACTGAGATTCTTCATCTGCAGCAACATGCCTCCGTTGGGATCCCTGTCCTGCCGCAGGTGAGTGGACCGGGGCACGTGAAGCGTGCAGTGATGCTCCACGGCCGCAGGCATGGAATTAATTGCAATTACAACATTAAATCGTGTGCTGTGCACTGCCCCTGGTGGTGGAAAGCCTTACAAATGTAAGTGGCATCCGGAGAGGGCCGAGGCGAGATGGACGCGCCACGCTTCCTGCAGAGTGGGCCACCGCTGCCGGTCAGAGCCGGCACCCATGCCGGAGAGGGGTGCACTGGGCACCCCACCCCCCAGCAGGGAGAGACACATCACGGCAGGTCGGCTGGCTGGGTCAGGGCGGACATATGCCCCTGCCGGATTGCGGGAAGGGGGAGAACTGGCAACACCGGACTGGACTCTTCCTTGCAACACAGACACAAACATAACAGGAGAGGGGATTCCACATCCCTGGGATTGATCCTGCCCAGCCAAGCCTGGCCTGGGACCTCCAGCTGCAGCGTCAACGTTTCCCGGATCCTCCCTCTTTGGTGCGTCGGCCCCGTCTCAGCCCAGCTCCTGGAGAATCGTGGGAGAGGAGGCAGGGTGGAAACAGCGGCTCGGCCGTGGCTACAGCTTGCTCTGGGCAAACTGGAGCAGCTTCTCCAGCTGGGCTTCGAAGGACAGCTCGTCTCCGTCGTTGGTGATGACCCAGTCGAAGTGCACGCCTTGATCCAAGCCGCACTCGGATTCCGCGTCATCAATTCCTGGAAGAGGGAAAGGGGAGATCGGACCCCACCTGGCACACTGCCTGTGCCCGAACGGGTGTTGCTGCTGTTGTGATGATCCAACCTTGCCCCCCCCCCCCCCCCGTTCACCTTTCTAGAAACAGCCGTGAGCAACGATCCCAGCCAACGGAGCCCCCCGAATTCAGGTTTCCACACATTCCCGGTTGACTCTCTGGCTTAGAATCCAGCTTCCCCCGTGGCTTGGCTTAGCTAAGCATTGCAGATGCTCGCTGGCTCCTTGTCGGGTTGTGAGCTGTGGGACGCCCACCATAGTTTCTCATGTCAGCCCAGTTCAGACAACACAATAACCTACATTTCCGCAACAACCCACAATCGCCCCTTGAGAGAACCCGCCACAAGGGACTAGCACTCAAGCTTGTTAGGTTTAAATATGCCTACGCGTAGAAGCCTGGACACCTTTCCTCTGATCATGAGGGCCAGAAACTTGTCTTTTTTAAATTGATCTCAAGGGGTCACATTCCTCGCCAGACCCCTGCAGGCTCCGCATCTGTCGGCCAAAGGAAACGTACACAGGTCTGCTTCTTTCACTTACCCACTATGAAAACCCAGTTGCGTCTTTTCCGGGTCTCCTCAGTAGCAATGACACGCACAACCTGCACCACGTCCCCGTACACGTCCCGGAACCACTCCACGTCCGAGAGCCGCCTCGTGTCGCTCACTAACTGCGTGGGAAGGCAAGGAGGATGCGTTTCGGGATTGGATGGGGCACAGCCAAACCCAGATATGTGGGGCTGCTGCTGTGAAACATTCTGCTTAGCATGTTCCCGCAAGGGACCCCAGTGGTTCTCAGACTCTTCCGTTTAAACCTCAAAACAACAACCCTGCGAGGTAGCTTGGGCCCAGCATTGGGGACTGGCCTGAGTCTCCCAGTGAGCTTCGTGGCCAGCCGAGGCCTAGACCCAAGTCTCCCAAGTCCCAGCCCAACCCTTTAACCACTACACCGCACAGCCACCACCTGCTCCCTTCGAACTCAGCTGCAGTCTTAACTAGACACTGCAGCTTGTTAAACTCTGCTGGAGTTCCCTAACTGCCCAAGAAACCCCCAGATCCCACTGGGTGTTTGTTGCTGGGCTATTTGAGGCTTGGTCGGATGATCTGCCCGGGTTCGGATGATGTGCTAGTTTGCTAGTTAACGGAGGAAAGATAAGCAAGGAGACCCTCTCAGCACACGCGGCCCATTCCCCTCGCTGTGGCTGTGCGAACCAGCCCTCGATTTTATCTCGTGGTTGCAAAGCAGGGCAGGCTGGCTAGTTTTTGAATGGGCCCTCAAACTTTTCCATATAACCTGCTCCCGGAGGAGACGGAAAGGCCCCAAACCTGTAACGCGCTCTACGTGGGGCTGCCCTTGAAGACGGTCCGGATACTTCAATTGGTTCAGAATAGAGCTGCCAGGCTGCTGACGGGGACGGGGCGTTATGTTCACCTGACTCCAGTCCTCCGTCAGCTTCACTGGCTTCCCATTGAAGTCCAGGCCCAATTCAAGGTGTTGGTTATGACCTATAAAGCCCTTAACGGCTTGGGACCTGGTTACCTGAAGGAGCGCTTGCATCCATATATGCCCAGCCGCCCCCTGAGATCGGCAGGAGAGGCCCTTCTCCGGGAACCCTCTGTGAAAGAAATTAGGAGGGTGGGCACTCGGAGGAGGGCTTTCTCTGCAGTGGTGCCTAAGTTATGGAATGCGCTCCCCAGAGAGGTCCGCCTGGCGCCGAAAAGCAAATAACGATGGCGCCAGGCGGACC